ATGTAAGTTTTTCCAGGAAAAAAACCAAACCAGAACACCAAAGGAGCTGTGGATAGCTCAGGTTCCAGGCAAAAAGGGGAGCTGCGCAGTAATTTTGAAAGAAACTCTAAAATGAAGTTAGGAAAGTGCAGCAAATGTGAATTATTGAAAACTTTGGATACTGCATATTATGCAAGAATTGATGTCTTCTTCCAATAATCTGTTCTCTTGACTTTAGCCTATTGCCAAGCAAGTACAATAAAGCCACTGAACCTCCCCCCCTCAAAGTCCTTATAATTTATTTACTGTTTGGGTCTTATGGACTGTGATGCTCTAATGAATTTTAGGAATAGATCTTTCTTTAGCTAAATGGTAACTTTCATATTAAGTTTAAGACTCAGTAGTATTCTGGTTGCCAGATGAAGCAAGTTTTTCTAACACTATTGTTTTTCTAGTCTGGGTGTTTTATTCTGGCGGCCAATACCCAAATAATTGGGTTCTTTGTTTCAGCTCAGGGCAGCCCGTGAAAAGCTGCTCCCATAAACTGACTCAAAATGGCTGGTTAAATGGTGATATATTTCTTTACTCCTTGTTAGATACATTACAAAAGACTGGAAACAAAATAGGAAAAGCAGTCAGGAAATAATATCACCTTACTAGCAGTGTACGAATGGCACTGACTACGTTAAGTAGCCTTACCATGGGCTAGCCTTTCTGAGAGATGAAGTGCAGGTTCATTTCTGTAGCCATCTCTAGAAATCTCTGTTATTTTCCTCCAGGTACATATCCATCTGGATAACAGCAATCAGAAGAAGAAACAGAGGACAGATCTCTGGAATTCATCATCTGCAAAAAAACAAGGTACAGGACTCTGTCTTCGGGAGGCTTCTGCCAAAGTTGGATTGAAAACTACTGAGCTGCTCCTTTCTGATTCAAATAAGAGAAAACAGTTGAAGACATCCCAGTCTGCGTTACTTCACATTTGTGAACAGGAATGTCATAGTTGGATTTTGAGTTGAACACCACCTGTGTTATCCTAAATGTTACAAATGGTGCTGAGGAATAAAGGGCTGAATGGAGTAACTCAGTGAGGGCACCCTCCAGATCTGTCTAGATGCAAAAAATGTTTAAACCCAAGTGGCATAGTAGTGTTACTCAAAGCTTGGAAAGTCTTAAGTGCAGGATGAGTGTGCATTGTTGCCATGGTCCAAGTTAAAACCGTCTGTAAATGTGGGATTGGGAAAGATTTTTATTGATTTTATCCTCCACTCACTTAGCAGAGAACTGAGTTGGTTGTGGGTTGCTTATTTTGGTCATCTTTTGTAAGATGAAGAGACTTGGAGCATTAGTGTTACCCCAGAGCTTGCGCTTTGTAGGATAGAGTGGATTTCTAAGGCTTTGGGACTTGAAGTTTGCAGAATTCTAGGGTTGTTTGAGATGTTTCTTCACAGTTTTATGTTTTCAACGACAGCTCCATTGTGCTTATGATGAGTAGAGGTGCTTTTCACTTTTATAGTTACTTCTAAAGGGGACGTGACATAAGCAATCTCAATATAAAACATTCTGGTACCATTTGTGCACTGCTGGAGTTGTTCTAGTGCAGTCATTCCAGTGAAAGAAAATCATCTCCATTATGGGAGAGTTGCTTGTATTGGTGTAGAGAACTTTCAGACCAGCCTAAAAGTGGGAAACCTTCCTTCAGGATTGTCGTCGAGGTTTATGAAATGCTCTGGTATCCTCCTGTCAGCTGTAGTTCTCTGGATAATCGTGTTGTGCTAAACACGTTAGTGTTGCTAAGGCCATAACTACCTTTTACAAGAAGGAGATTCATGTATAGATACGATACTGGAAATGTGTGCCAACCATAGTATTAGAGTAAATTCCATGAAAATTCTTCATCTCTGTTGAAATTACTCATACAGTGGAGGAGTTATAGTTGGTTATAATTAGTTGGCTCCTTCTGAAGCTCTGTGCTGAAGGTTCATGTGGCGTGCCAGAGAAGTAACTCTTCAGAATGTCAGTTCTTAGCCAGAAAATGCCATGGCAGGTCACAGCCTCGGGGCACTGTTACCTCTTCGGAGATAAGACCTTTTGCTGAGAAACTTCCTAAGTCGTTCTTGTCACTTCTTGATAGTTTCAGCCTTAACTGTACTTGTCAGTCCTTCTTGTTCAACTGACATTTCTCCCTCTCCTTGTCTCTCTCCTCCCACCTGTTTTGTTCCTTATGCTCTGCACAGCTTGGTATCTGGAACTACCTCAATGTAACCATACTTCAAAACAACCTATTTATAAGACAGGAAGCTTGGCTTCTGAATGAGCTTATCCTGAGGCTCTGAGTTGGGCTTTGCTGGACTTCAGCATTCATTCTTTCTGCTGTTTTGATTTGCTTTTTAATAAACACAGGTGACTACCAAAACATTTTCTAATTAGAGGGGACATACAGATCCCTCTACCTAAGCCTTCTTAATAGAATACTCTGAGGATCTTTGTAAACACCTTGCCTCATAACTGTCTACTTGGTTACTCAATTAAACACTCTTGAGAATGTGTTTGTTTCACAGAAGTCCTTTTCTTAAGGACAAAAGTAACCTTTCTCGAGGAGCGAGTTTCCATGAATTTAGTGGTTTTGCACATAACATCCTCTCAAGTGTTTCCACGAAGTACGTTCTGCTCTATTTCAGAACTGAAGCATGCTGTCTGGTAATCTGCAAATATTGTTTTCCTGAAGTATTGCTCAATTGGAGCTTGAAGTTACAGGAATAATTCCAAGTAGATTTTGTTAGGTATGTGTGCAGGAAAAGGCTAATAAAACACTTCAGGTTTATTGCATAATTTGGAGGATTTATGCACAAAACCAGCACAAAGCAGTCACAGAAATCTTGTGTGATTTAGTGGATGCACACAGATAGATTTACTTCTCAAATCAAAACAGTGTTTGTGAGTACCCATGCAACAGACCAGCAGTTTGTCGAGACTTGCGCTGTGTGCAAACCTAGCAGAGGCCAGACAAGACCAAACAAGTCTCTGGTTTCCTGTAGTGCTATAACAGCTTGTATAAGAACAATGCAAACCTTTAAAGAATAGTCTGTTTTCAAAGGATTTTGTGGAAATTATTCACTCGAGTGTAAATCTCTACAAACTAATTGGTGAGAAGTGGCATAGCTGGGCATAGCTGCTGAGGTTACTGCCCTCGCTACCTGTTCTGTGCACAGATGTCACTTAGGAATGCAATATGGCAGTTTTACGTTAAGATAAAATGCTCTTTCTCTTGGTTTGCTTTAAATCACCGTATTGTAAATCATTAGCAAACCATTTGGATCAGCTGTCCTTGTACCAGGAATGGAAAAAGCTCCTGCAGCAATCAACTTTTTGGGTAACATCCAATCGTTCCTGCGGGTGAATGGGACCTTTAAAATGGATTTAATATTCTGAAGCTGAAAGATGCATGATGACAGAACACCAGGCTAAAAATGTGCTGTAATTCAAGCTTCCTCAAGAACTGGGCAACTGGTGCCTGGCACTCATCCCGCAGGCTTACAGAGAGGTGTATTTCACACTGAGGGTTGGCGAGGCAATGTGGGTGGCCGGTGTTCTTTCTTAGGCCATCCCACGTCAGCTCAGTTTGCTTTCTGTTGGAATTTCATCGGCTCCTGACATAAGTGACTTTGCTCCTGTCTGTAGACACTCACTGGCCTGCCCATGGACAGATCCGAACTGTAACTTGCACCAGTTCGTAGCGTGAATTCAAGAGGTACAGAAGTTGCTAAACTTTGCAATGTGATTTCTTCTAGAATCTGGCCACGGTCTGGATGGATTTGCCCAAATGAGACAGATAGATAAAACTTCAGCTTAAAATAAATCCTCTTGTAATTCTAAGCAGGCAGTGAGTCACTGGGCACATAGTACCGGGGATTTCCTGAATCAGTCAGCTTCGCTTTGAAAACAGTCTTTGAGTGAAGCGTGTCTTTTTTAAGACACGCACATGATACATGGATGCTAGATATATTTTTTTATTACTTGAACTAATCGAGCGAAGCAGAAGCAGAAACAAAAGCTAATGTTTTATTTGGTTGCTCTTGTTTTTATGTAGTTGATTGTTTCGTTCCCTTGATCCTTTGACTGTCTCTGAAAAGCTGATGCTCAGTTTTCAGCAAGACCAATGGTACAACTATAAGCTGAGCAATGAAAGAAATGGGTGGTGCGATTTATCCATTTGTCTTTACATCCTTTCTGTTGATAATTTATAGCATGCTGGATTTTCAGTGTCGCGCACATTGTATATCCGCATCCCACAAAAGATTTGAGCAGAAGTTGAAAGGCTTGGCAGTTGGCTGTGGGAAGATGAAAGGTTTGCAGCCATTGGAAATTCCTGATGGAGAAGGAGTTCTTATCTCTTCAGGCAAGAGCAGGGGTGGAGGAATGATTTTTCCATAACTTCAATAATTTGTCCTTCATCCCAGTATTCTGCAGTTCTTCTACCACTCTTCCCCTTCCAGTCGTCCTTGACAGCAGGAGGTGAATCAATGGCTGGAGGGCTGAGTAGGTTTACTTGCTCAATCGGCCTGTTGCTTGCCAACAAAGAGACCTGATGCTCTGTCTTTTCTGTAACCGTATTTTATTTAAAAGTATAACCTACTTAAGGTGCAAGGGAGCAATGACCTTTTAAACTGTACTTTGACTGGACATAGTAAGTAAATCTGGCAAAGGCCAAAGCATCTGGAATTTTACCTTCAGATGCTGGCTGGTTTACTTTCGGCATTTCAGATGCAGTGTGCTCTATGCTAGTCATACCCTAATTTTTCTGCTTATACGTTTGCTTCTTGGTGTTTTCTCTTCATTTGTTACAGGAAAAACCTTAAGCTATTGGTGTTTCAGCCCTGGATACAGTATGCATGAGCTTGTTCGACAGGGAGTCAGGACAATTATCCTTACGAGTGGCACTCTCTCCCCACTCTCATCATTTACAATGGAAATGCAGATGTAAGTACCAAGATCTGTGAACAGTCCCCTTACTGAAAATGCACAATCTGCCCTCATGATTTTAGGTTTTATCTCAGGATTTTTGAGTGTTCTGGACTGGTCAGTAGGGAATCATATGATGAGTATGACTGGGGTCTTACTTTTGTGTCTCTTTAGCCCTTTTCCTGTTTGCTTGGAGAATCCTCATGTCATTGATAAACAACAGCTCTGGGTTGGGATCATTCCTAAAGGACCTGATGGCACCGTGCTTACTTCTAACTATGAGAGAAGGTAATGAACTTCCATGTGGAATTCTGCTTTTAAGTCTTGCATTTGGGCATTTTGGGCTCCGCTTACAGGAGGGCACTCGTGAAATAAGTGGCCTCTGTCGTTCTTCTCTTGGATGAATACTGTGCTGAATACCACCACCCTTTAACCACTACTGTTGAAAAGTTGGAACTTGGATCAAATGTGCATTAAAAGTTCTTAATGGCACTGACCAGCCTCAGCTGGGACCTCCACCCACAACCATCACCCAGGAGCCCCACCTAAGGTCTGGTATAGGCATTCAGTCACTGCCCAGGGTGTAGGACTGTCTCCAGCTCCATCATAGCCACACCTGGCCATGGACCCTCCTGATCTGACCCCCTTGATCTGACCCTCCTGGTCATCCCTTGATGGACCTCCCTCACCATCCTTGGCCTGTGATGCTCCTTACTGTCACTGGACCTGCTCCTGGTTTACTGATGTGTATTCCTGGCTTGACCTCAGACCTTCCCCACCACCATGACTTTGCCTGATGATCTGGACTTGTGGTTGAGCCTGGCTACTGCATCCCAGTCTTTCCTGCTCTGTTAGTGTGGATCTTGGCCCTGACTGGCAAGACCCCTGCCCTGCATGGCTTCATATCATGCTCAGATGCCACCTCCCTGTCCCTTACAGAGCAGTCCACCCTTACTGACATGGAGCCCCATCTCAGATTTCTTTGCTGAGGGCTTAATTGATTTGAAACATGACTGGCCTTTACAACAACTATTTTTATACCTAAAGCTTGTCACCATGACCAGCCTATCTTTTATCTCCACATTGCCATCTGAGGGAAAATATATCCAAATATTTGTCTAGCTTTTCCTCATAATTTTTCTTGTTTTTCTTGGGTCTTTCATAATTTTGCCCATATCTTTCTGTTCTTCAGAGCAGACAGTGCTTCTGCTGCCAGCAGAATATACTGTCAGCAACAAAGGCCAGAACTTGTTTTCGTGGTGTATTGACTTCTGTTGTGCAATGTGACAATCTCGTTGGCATCTCAGGATGTAATTTTAAAAGGCAGTTTCATGCTTTGGGGCACATGGCAGAAGGTTCTGTGCTTGGCAGTCCTCTGAAGTCACTAAAGGGCAGCACGATATTGGTGCTAGTGTTGTGTTTAGGGATACAGTCCTTCTGTAGTGATTTGAAATGATGATCAGTTCTTTGTATATGACACACATGCTCTTCCATTTAACTTTCTCCCTATAGTACATGTTTCTATGTGTTGGCACATTCTTAAATCTATTTCAGTTTCAACATTGTAGACAAACCTCTGGCTGATAGTGCTGTAGTTTAGCCTGCTACAGGCCTGACTTACTCTTTTTTTCCAGCAATACATATGTATATTATATATATATTTATATATATAAATAAAAATATCTCAAATAGCTTGTACTGAAAAATAAAGGAGGGAAAAAAAGCCAGGTGTTCCACAGACTGGAAAGTACTCGGGATTTGTAATTGATTTCTACCAAGATGAAGTAGTCTGGAAAACCCTCAGACTACATTTTTCATGTTCAGTAGCTTAGTGTGCCATTTCAGTGTACTTTGTTGAAGATACAGACTTTCAGAGGGTGGAGGTTGGGGTTCCCCCCCCCCCTAAGGCCCAGACCACCTTCTTTGGAAGGAAGGGAATTCACAGTGTTTGTTGTGTTTTGACAACATCTGTGTGGTGATGTGGGTATCTGTAGGTCTTACATAAAGAAATAAGTTCATCTTTTTTTCCTGCGTATGTAGATTTCCTGGGAAAACAGCATGCAAAACTACAGGGCACAAAGAAAGAAACAAAGGCATGAGAGAACAGATGACTTGAGTCAGGTCTGGAAGAAACAGAGAAATACTACTCACTGTAGAGCAGTACCTTTTTAGTCAGGGCAGAAGTGATTAACTTGGCTTATGCCACATGTAAGTAATAACCATAATAACCAAATTCCCCCTTTTTTGCCCCTGCAGCATCACCACACCTCGTTTATCAATAATTATTTTAAATAGTTGTCAGGTTAGTCAGGCCTGGCAGCATCTGCAGACTTTGGCAGAACTTTCACTCTGAAATTGTCAGTATTAATCATAATCCTCACGTGGCTGCCTGTCTCCCCTTGTTACCTTTTGGTAATATTGAAGCTTAGATCATTGTCAGTGTTAATAATAAGAATATTTAATAGCCACAGTAATATGTAGTCAAGGTATGACTAATTCTGTGTCCTTGCCACAGGAAGGAGAGCAATTGGGAGTGTGGATGTGCTGTTTTAGATGAAGAATATTAGAGGAAGTCAATATGCATGGAAATCACAGAAAAGGAAACACAATGGTGTTACTTGGTTTTTCTTCTTTGTAGGTTTTCAGAGGATTATTTATCTTCTCTGGGGAAAACAATAGGTAAGTGACGTGTGCGGATTCCAGAAATGAGCTGGTGTGCAGGAATTCTAGAAATCCCCTAGAATGAGAAATACTAAAGAAAATAAAGTAAGACAGAGAAAGATAAAGGTTTGCAGTGCATATTTAAATGCTGGCTGGTTCTGTTTGCTTCTGTTTGCTCAGGCAGCTGCCTACTGTAATTACATACAAAAATGAGTTGGAATCCTTGGTTTAATGTTTCCATGGTAAGAGTTCAGTTTTATTGTCAAGTGTTTGTGTTTGGGTCAAAAATGTGGCTCCTAAACACTGTCAGAAAGTGGCACAAACTAGAAAATCAATGCACAGAGATGATGCAGCCAAGACGGAGCAATTAAGAATCGCAAGAGATCAATGCAATTTCTTGTGATGTTTTTAAAGGCAATATGTCAAGCAAACCTTAAGTCAGTGTTTATTGTTTTAGTGATCTTTTTCCAATGTAATGGAACTACAAAATGTTAATGCATGAGGTCAGGATAAAAGCAGAGCATTTGTGTAGCTTGGCTGAGATGTGATTGAAGGGAATCTGTTGAATCTAGAAACGTTAAAGGAAATTAAGGAGGGTGTTCAACTTGTGAAATTAAGAAAATGTTTTCACAAAATACCAGATCAGTGGTTTGTTTTTTTAGTGAGGTGCGTACTTTTTGACTAGGACACTCAAAAGCGATCTTGTGACGCCTCTTCCATTGTTTTCAATGTTTAGACTGGGGTTTAGACAAAGAACGGAGAAAATGATGTAAAAGTAGATTCTACTGGGCAAATATGGGAGCTGATGTTTGTCTTTGGTCTGTAGTGTTCTGTGTAGCTTGTAATATATTTTATCCTGTTAATGCTGCACTTTAGAAAGCTAGGTAGGCATCTGTATTCAAGTTTATACCTCGATGACACTTTAGAAAGCCAGTTAGGCATCTGTATTCAAGTTTATACCTCGATGACAAGATAATCAGTGTGATTTTAAAAAATGAAACAACTTCTAGTACACAAACATTCGTGGAAAGAAAGCAGAAAAGGTTTTGGAAGGAGCCCACGCTGTTAGTTTATTTGTCCTTCACAGTCTGTGTACTCCATCCCAGGATGAAGATGCCCTCAGCTGTACGCTTGCCCATCTCATTGCAGGTAACCTTGTGCGAGTTGTGCCCCATGGACTCCTGGTGTTCTTCCCATCGTATCCTGTCATGGATAAGAGCCTGGAATATTGGAGAGTATGTAAATTGCTCTGCCTTTATTAGATGGGTTGGTGACACACGTCAGGCAGTTTGTAGTGATGCTATCTAACCATTCTCATTAAAGGTTCTTTGTTAATAAGTAAATTATAAAGCCTGGGAAGTAAAAACCCAGGTCAGGCTGCTTTTATTTTGATCACAATACACTGAGATGCACTGTTGCAGAGACGAAACTCAAAAGAATCTTAGTACCTGATCTGATCTCGGTGTTCATTTAAATTTCACCAGACTTCTCTTTATTAAACCTCCAAATTCTAGTTGGTGAAGTGTTTTAACTCTTAGGGGGAAAAAAATCCCAATATAAACATTTATTTTATTTTTAATTTAATTTTTCTAAGTGCTGTGTTCGTGACTTGAGTGTCCCTGGTAGAGCAGCTCTGTTTTAAACGCTGCTCCTCCTTAAATGTGGCTGCAGGGAGAGAGGTGGTGTGCTGCGGCGTGGGTCTCTGGGAGACTGGGAGCTTGCAAGTTGGAAAGAAAAGAAATGGGTCTCTCATCTGCCTAATGCAAGGAATGGCATTAGGATTGCATGCTTCTGTTTCCAGCTCTTCTGATGTTTGGCAAAGGCAGAGCAGACCGTGGTGGGGAGGGAAGTCTCGTCACTGCTCCAAGTCTGTGGCGGCCACTCCTGAGCGTTTCCTTTCTTGTGGGCACTCCTGGTATGTGCTTACTTTCAAGTGCCCGTTTCTGATCTGTTCATCTGTTTGACAGGAGCATGACTTCACTAAAAGAATCGAAGAAGTGAAGCCAATGTTTGTGGAACCCAGGAACAAAGGAAGCTTTGCAGAGGTTGGTTATTTGCATTACATACCTGTAACATTGTCAAAAACTGTTTTTGTGTTTAAATACCTTGTCCAAGATGTGTTTGGGTGAGTCCTTCTTTGAACTATAGTTCTTCTGGGCAACTTTCCTTTACTCTTTTGGCCAGTTTTGCAGAGTACAGCCTTTATTTCAATCCCAGGGATCTAACAGCAGCTAACATACTGAGAAATGGAGGTGGTAGAAAGCTGTCACTTCAGTAGTCAGCATCTGTTAATATTCTGCGGGACGTTTTCCCCAGCTTGTCGTGGTTTGGGTGTTAAGGAGTTGTACAATGTCATCTTGTTTATTTATAGCCGCTCTGTTTGCTTCTTGGAGTAAATAATACCCTTGAATTGCTTTTCTGGTTTGCCTCTTTTACTCGGGGATCTGCAGAAACACAGGACAGTCCATGTTTCACCTTCTCATCAGAAGTGTCTGACGTTGATCTTTTATGCTTATTCAGATGTGTTCTAGATTTCACAGTAACGTACGGGTTTCTTACTAAGCAAGTCACTTCTCACATTTGCAATTAGTAAAAGAAAACGTACCCAAATTAATCACCTTACAGATCTTAATGCACAAGTCAAATTTAGCTAGTACAGCTTTCCACTTACACATGTGCAAAGGATGATACCATTCCT